CTAACACACAAGGCTCTAAGTTCAATTTTTCTATACTACCGAAATGCAGATTTGTCGTGTATGTTAAGTAATCGATCATCTTGGTAATATACATATTAAATTTTTCGAAAACGTCTTTTTTTTTAAATCAACTCCACATCAAAAATCACACTACAAAGTGGTCTATAAAAATAGTTAACAATAAATCAACTGCAATTACATATAACATTTGCCGTGAAGTGATCACACCAAACAAAACACCACCCATTTTGCTACATTAAGTCCGATCATCTAAACTGGAGAACATAAGTGTGTGTATGTATATATATTATAAGCAGTAAGCTTCAATATAAAGCAAAAAGTTAAAAAAAAAGACATGAAATGTGACTTGATATTTCCTAACATGTCACAGAACAAGGAGCCGTCCCATCAGATTCAGTAACCAAATGTATGTAGTTTCAAGGAGCAGCTGAACTAACAAAAACAAGTAACACTTGCACATTTAGATCATTAATATGTGTATTTTTCTTTATATAACATGTAAAATAGATATCACCAATCACCACAGCAGTGATTCTAATAAACACATCTCAATTCCCACCACTTGAGTTGAAACGTCTAGAATGATCAGTAAGGTATCAAATGTTAAGCTTACGTGAAACCGAGGTACGGAATGCTGCCGTCTTAGAATGTAGCTTCGATTAATTTTGTGGTACAGATCAACAATGGGAAAACATTAACCTAGAGAGAAATTCTGTGTAAAGAATGCCTTTAGTTAAATCGACTATTTCTAGAGAAAGAGAGATGGCGAATGATTTCTGTACTTAAACGCCAAAAATGTATACTGCTAAGCTAATTGCTAAGCTAATACATATACTTTCAGCAGACCGCAAGACGTGGAAAAATAATGAAAAAAAGTGTTAAAAATTGGTAAAACAAACGTCTATAACAAGAACTTTATTATTATTTGTAACTTCTATCACTTTAATACCTGTTTTCCATATTTAAAAAAATGTTTATAGAACCGCTTCAACAATGTTCCTGCTAACAATATCCACGCAGTACATACGTAATTTAGAATCTCTTTATATTATTCTAACCCTTCAACGATTCTGTTTAAGCCCTTTTTCTATGTAACGAATGGCTTCTGACCAAAACGTTGCAAATAATAATAAAGTTTTCGTTATAGACGTGTGTTTTACCAATTTTGAACACTTCTTTTTCTATGTAACGAATGGCTTCTGACCAAAACGTTGCAAATAATAATAAAGTTTTCGTTATAGACGTGTGTTTTACCAATTTTGAACACTTCTTTTCCTTATATATACTTTCACTGAAAAAAGAATACGAGCAAAAATGTAAACCGATTTTTTGTACGACCTTAAGCTCAGGAACCAAAACGTAATCCTTTTGGTAATGTTGTAAGATGATATCTCTAAAATCAAACAAAGAATGTTAAAGCCCTACTTAATTTCCTCGGGCACTGAACTTACTCTGAAGAGTTTAGTGAGTTTATCATAGGCTTTAACAGAAGAGTAATTCCTAGTGAAAGCATGTCATGGAAGAAAATGTCCTTTCATTTCAAGATGTCTAGTAATATGGATTACAACACTGTATGATGTACATGGATATGTCAGTCTACAGCTCTATCGATGTCAACAGGGAATGTGTGTGCTTTTGTTTCACGCGCAGTAATGATGAGGTATATATTATTTAAACTGCAAAGCTGTGTTGACTTTAGTCTATTCAGGTTCTTTGTATTTACCTATATTCTCATATAATATACATTTTCTAGTATAATCCTTTTGGCTGATACAAATCCCACTTGGAACAATTAGACTTTTTTAAGCATAATGGAATGTAAATTTTGTTCATCCTGCTAGCTTTTACTGTTGAATAAAGTCCCCAGATTACTCTTTTGGAATGTAAATTGTTTTCAAATTGCTAGCTTTCACTGTTCATTACAGTCCCTACATCAGCTTTTGGAATGTAAATTTTGTTCAGGCTGCTAGCTTTCACTGTTCATTACAGTCCCTACATCAGCTTTTGGAATGTAAATTTTGTTCAAGCTGCTAGCTTTTACTGTTGATTACAGTCCCCAGATTACCCTTTTGGAATGTAAATTTTGTTCAGGCTGCTAGCTTTCACTGTTCATTACAGTCCCTACATCAGCTTTTGGAATGTAAATTTTGTTCAAGTTGCTAGCTTTCACTGTTCATTACAGTCCCTACATCAGCTTTTGGAATGTAAATTTGTTCAGGCTGCTAGCTTTCACTGTTCATTACAGTCCCTACATCAGCTTTTGTAATGTAAATTTTGTTCAAGCTGCTAGCTTTCACTGTTCATTACAGTCCCTACATCAGCTATTGGAATTTACATTTTGTTCAAGCTGCTAGCTTTCACTGTTGACTACAGTCCCCAGATTACCCTTTTGGAATGTAAATTTTGTTCAAACAAGCTTTCCCTGTGCATTATAGGCCCATCTTATTTAATGGAATGTTCCAGTTGTTCAAACTCCAAACTTGGAGGTATAATCCTTATTTTTGACTACTGGAATGTAAGTTTAATCAAGATTAAGATGGAGTGTTTACTATAGTTATTCACTTATCTACTTGTATACAAGATTTCTTAGACCTCAGCATGTTAATAATTAAATACCAAGCAAACAGTTAATTTTACATTACAGCTGACAAGAGAAACAAAAATACAAGGGATATATTTAAAACCATTTCTTTGGAAAGATTACTGCATGAAATTATAGTGATAAGGTTTTCCTTAAATAACATGTTTCATATTCCTATGTACTTTAATAAGTTTAAATTAAAATTCAGTAATATGTGATTTTTTTCAAATAATGGAATCTTAAAGGCAGTTCAAATCTCGAAAAATTGAAAAGAAAGATATATATATATATATATATATACATGTATAAACAAACTTAAAATGAGTGAATAAAAATACACAATATACTATTTTTCTTTAAATCCTAAAAGCAATAAAATTTTTCTATGTGAAATATGCAGTTACAGTTAATTAAAAGCATATACAGATGTATTTGCTAGGTTTTCTAACACACAGAAAAATGGAAATATACCTTTCCACAAAACACCTTGGAATACTGTTTAAGTATATAGAAACTCTTACAAGAGGTCTAATTAAAAATAATAAGACCAGAAATTGTTTGCAATATTATAATTATTTAAGTATGGAGAATGAGAGTTTTGTCATAAATTATGAGGCTATGTTGTTAGGCATATTAAGCCTGACTTTTACATAAATTCCAACAAGAAATCTGCAAGTGGCTTTAGAAACAGAATAAAAAAGAGTTTCTGATGTACTATCAGTTTTTATATACTACAATGAACTTGGGTACCCAGGTTTATTAACATCAGTAAGGATGGACTCTAATGGACGGTATCAGTTTAAGGTGATTATTTTTAACAACTCATTTGTTTAGTAGATCATTACATCACAAAATAAGTTAAGAATATCAAACATACCATTTTTGTAAGAATATCGTTATCTTTAGAAATATTACAACATCCAACGATTGTGCAAAATTTTCATAACTATAAACATAAATCAGATACGAGTACAAACTGTGGATGTTTTACAATTATACGAAGCAAAGGTCCTTAAAGAAAGAAAGAAAAAATTCTTCCTTTATTTTCAATTGTTATATTAATTATGTTGGTGCTTTAAGTGAAACAACAGTGCTAAAGATGGAATAAAAATTTGTCCATACTCCCAAACAATTTCTTTCAACAAAATAAAAAGGTTTTCTACAGCACTGTGTAGATACTAAAAAAATACTTAACAGTTCATCTGCATATATACTAAGGCAACTTATTTAAATCATCACTTGGGTTAACAAAACATGCTCATTCAAGGCTAACCCGTTTCAAACTTTACTAGAATGCCAAAACTTAGAGGTTCCTGGCACTAATTTACTATGAGTATCAAATCATTCATGTAATAAAGTAATAGCTTCATTGAGATGACATTACTGTTCTTGTTTCACTTGTTTAGTCATTAGCATGACATGTATAATAAGAGTTTAAGTGCAACATGAAACTTTTAAATATGGACTTATATAATATACCACAAAGTTTTGGACCATTGTGAAATCTTCACTAAATTTTCACTTATACTATTAATAGTAAAAAACAGATCAACGTTATGAAACGTAATAAATGGACAACTGTAAAAATCCTTTCTTAAGTTGAGCATTGGTGGACTTGGTTAAGTATAATATGAACATTTCTCTCTTAAACTTGAGTCCAAAACTATACACAACCAAGCGATTATAAAAACTCAATATGATAAAAAAAAGTTGAATCAATGCAGTATGACATACATCAAGACTACAAATGTACATCCTGCATTAACTAAACAAAAAAAAATATTTCATTATTGTTATTTATTTTAATCTTAAATATAGCTCATCTAACTTTCTTAAAAAATATACATATACATGAAACACAAAAACAAAAAGTAATGCAATTTTAAACTATGAAAAAATATAAAACTATGAAAAAATTTTAAAATAATATTTTAGACTTTATATGTGGCCATCATGAATCACTTTTGTAAACAAACACAATGTGAAAAGAATGCTAATTGCAGATAGTGTTGTATCTGTTACTCTAAAGTTTCTTTTTCTATCTACATACTACAGAAAATAATATCTTAAACTGATTCAGTTCTTTCCTGCATCAAATATAACAATTTAAAACTACACTCTCATGTATCTTACAGGAATATATTAAAGAACCTGTTAAATTGTTGATTATTAATAGCAATTATGATAGCATCCTTTCAATAATCACCAACATATTCTTACAGTCCAAATGGTATACCAATTTGACATTAACTTACGAATACTAAACAGTATTTTGTTTTAAAAAAGATAGTTTGAATTCTATAAAACTCATGGATTTGATTAGAAAAAGACTATTTTGGATTTATGTTTTCCAAATCCAACACTACAGTAATAATGTTTTTCAATTACCTTCCTTAAAATATCTTCCACTTGTTATGTTGTATTTTACAATGTTTTGTTTTTGAAACTTATTCATTGTCATTTGTTTACAGATAGAACTGCATAACCCAAATTGTACACTGAAGATTCAGAATTTTATATTTCTTAAACTACTACTAAGAATTTTCTATACAGCTTGGTAGAAATTATGTGATGCCTATTTGATTTGTTAACTTTTAAGTAATTACCAGCGGTTGCTATAACATGATATATGAGAGAAAATCAACCTAAAGTTTGGTCATGTGATTTTTATAGGCTTTTAATCTCAAGCCTTTTCAATTTACAAAATCCCATGATTTTATTGACTCCTCATCCACATTTAACATAAAAACAAAACAAAAATCAAAGGTCACTAAACACATCTTCATACTGCTTTTCTACTATAATATCATATACTTGAAGCCAAACAGTTAGAATTCAAGAAATTAAGATAATAAAATCTCATCATTGCTGTTTCTTGTTCAGTACTGGAATTTTAAGTAAATAACATTGGTTGTTTTTTCAAATTGATCAAGTTGCTCTACAATAGATATTTTGTTCACAAAACCAACCCTTAATTCACCTAAAAAAGAAATTTTCCAACCTTAGCAATACGATTAATCAATTTCTTTAAGATTAGTTGAATGTTTATAACTACTGGTATAAGATACCACTACTCAATGTTCAGTATTTTACATAAACTGCAACATAAACTATGTTTTTACAGAATAGATTTCTCATGCAATAAAGTACATCATAAAGTATTCTTACATTTCCTACTAAACTTTAGCTCAAGGCAAAAGATTTCTGAAAGATTCAAATTCCATTATTGTAGTTATAAAAAGAGACAAAATACTGACTGTCCAGGTTATAGGATAACAGATAATCTGTAAGGACATCTTTAAAGTATTTGGTTGATGATAATCTTCATTGGAATAGTTTAAATAAAATATAAAGGTGCCTGTCAGGGTGTTACTTCATTGGTTGATATGTGTTTTATATTTTCCATTGTTTTTGCATTAGTACATACCATGTTGCAGCTGTATCAGCATAACCATACTGATGATTTTCTGTAACGTGGTAGACTGTGGTGCAGCAACCATCAACAATACTGGTCGATGAAAACTTGTCTACTGTTTTTATCACTGAAATATGGATAAGTTATGATGGTCCTCAAAATAAAAATACTCCTCCATGGATGTTATGAATGGTAAAGTTCCCAAAAATTAAACTTCTAAAAGTGAATTGGGGGACTTTATCATATCTGAATTGTATACAATTGAATTAAGTCCATATGAATATGCATTCAGATCAATAGTCTATGAATTTTGTCAAAATTAGAGCTTCCAATGCATACCAAGGATCTAGATCCTACCATCAAGTAGGTGTGTGATAGCATTGTAAAGGCACAACAGCACATGAGGTATTGTAGACCACCAGATTCGGAAAAAACAGACCCTCTTGCTGGAATGAAGAGGAATTATCACTGAGTGTATTTAGCTATTGATGCAGAAATACCAAGCTGTCAGCAAACAAATTCTTTTCTTCCTATTTATCTTCATTGTTGGAAAATTTGGCCATGAAGGAGTGAGATATGATGGCAGATGAAAAAATATAATATCAGAAAATATCAAACAAACACATATAGGATGATCAACTTGCTACTTAATATTATTGTAGTATGACATCTCTACAAAGTCAATTCATGCAGAAACGGATTTCAACAAAGTCCATAGCCAGAATTTTCATAAGTTTCAGTTTATATTCACAGTGTTCAATAGTCTTTTCAGCTTTATTTTTAATTGCACTAGTTTCTGTCCTCAAACACCACTGTTGCCTCACTTGTTGCAATCTCTATGAAACATAAGCTTATACTCCACAAACTGGTGACCAGCTTCTTGCACAGGAATAGAACAGGCCTGGTATTACAATAAAGTTCATTGGATAGTTAATATGCAGAAAAGAAAACAGGGAAAATAGTATTTATTTTATAGAGTCTACAATCAAGTCTCTAATGTTGTTAATTTTAACATTTCATACTATTACATAAGAATAATAGAAAAATTAAAAAATACAATAAACAACTAGCAGGTCAGGATTTTCTCTAAAATGAAAATTTTACATTGAATGAATTTAAAAAAATACCCAATTAGTTTAAAAGTGTTACTTACCCTGGCAACTCCCTTCACAAATATTCGAAATCTGTATGAGCTTCTAAGATGAAGTCCAACAGGAAGTTGCCATGAAGGGTTTTCCTCCTGTAGAAGAGAAAAACGGTGAAATGTTTTATGTATGAACCTTCATCATGTCATCTTTTCTACAAATTCCCAGTTTGTATGTATTAAGATCTTAATGATAGAAAGCATATCTGCTAACCAATTAACTTCTTCAAACATATAAAATATACCAATCATCAACTAACCAGAGCATCATGTAATCTGTTAAGTGACTGATTTTGTCCTTCTTCGGTTCTCTGACCACTGAGAGGACAGTCAAATGGCTTTTCCTCTGTATCACATAATTTCATCTGAAGTGCCTGTGTCAAACTGAAACAAAACCAATATTACTTTTTTAGTTTGGAGGGTTAAGATATTTCTCATGCACTATTAAGCTAGATTAATTTAAAATATATGTAGGTTTTAATATCGTTTTACATTTTCAGTGAAAAGGGATAAAATGAGGAAACAAAATAACTACTGTTCAAATTAATGATATTTGGATATGTGCAAAGCAAGTATTATGTAAGATCATTTTCAATACTTAGTGACAAGAAACAAGCTGTTACAGAACTTAGGAAAGATTCTCTTACACAGGTCAGCACAAATAAGTTTAAGACATTGATATTTACCTTGAAGAATTTTAAAAATACACATAAATTGTATCTTTGTACATTTCAATCATTGTTACATTTTTTTCTTTGTATAATTACTCAACATTTTGAAATATTTTTTTAGACAGGAAACAAGTTTCATCCATTAGGATAGAAAGCTTAAGCTGACAAATTATGCCATTTCAGTAGTAACCATGTGATATTACATTTCAGTACGGCTGATAATAATTTAAGTCAACTAAGGTTTTGTATATATTAACCCAGCCAACCCTTTTTATGATGTTATTCACACACACATACTAGAACTTAAAAGTTTAATTTTTAATTTCAAATTCCATTATATACTTAACATAATACCACATAACTTGAGAAAAAGTTCTTTAAAAGTTGTTGTTATTAACACATTGAAATTGTAATTCTATATGTGTAACAAGTATAAGGCTCAAAAGTGAAATTTTAGGATGCTTAGAAATTTAACTGATGCTTCCTAAAAAAAAAATGTTTACAATTTTGTGTTAACTGATACAAAAGGATTAGTTAAATTAGAAATAATAAAGTAAGTATTCCTGTAAGTTTAAGTAGGTTGTATCTGTACAGCCAGATTTTCAATACGAGAGGTTTTTTTATTCAAGTTACAGACCTGCATAACAAAAAACTTAGTCTCTTTCCCTTGATTTCAAAAGACATATAGATAGATTAAGTTTGGTCAAAGTAATTTTGCCTCTTTTTACTCAATATTGTAAGCATAGCGGTAACCATTTTCTCACTACTATTAAATTACACAAGTCTAGTCAATACTCACACAAAACATTAGTGAACCTACTTGAACTGGACATTTATATAGTCCAAAGCCATGTATTTAGAGATGGGAATGATATAATAAAACCATGGTCCTTGAGCACAGTGATTTACACAGTATTCCCTCCCAATAATGGTGTCCAGTTCCAAAAGTTTGATGGACTCAAGTGGATGTTGTAGCTCTGGTGCATTTGCTACAAGTTATCAGGTGAAAAAAAAAAGACAGTTCACTTTTAATGTTTTCTAAACTCTCTGGATGAGTTTTGATTTAACAAACAAAATATAAAAACTAAGATCAGTAATTCTCACCCATTAGGCCATAAGATGCTCAGTTATGGGCCACCACAACCAGGGACAAATGTTACTGCCTAAATTAATGAGTCACCAACTACATATGTGGGCCTTTACTGCTGTACCAAATAACTAAATGGGCTTTAAGGTACAATAGACTAAGAAACTCTGCACTAGATTCTACTTCTCGTGGCAAAACTATTATTTTATTATAATGGATCCTTTCGGTGTCATACTGTAAAATGTGTATAAATTTTTGTTTTATTTTAGCAGATCTCAAAGTAATGACAATATATGCCAATATGACAACAACTTAGGACAGGACAGTGCTGTTAATATTCCTTTTTTCGAACAATCATATAGTAAATACAAAGATTAAGACAAATTTTCCATGCTCCTTTAATTAACCAAGTGTATACTGCATGTTATTTTACTCAAATCTCAAACACATAGTGTAAAAATTATACATATAATGATTAGTGTTCAAGAGAACATCATTCTTCCCACCCTCCCAAAAAATAAAAAAATGCTTTTCAATGAATTATACAATTATTTATTTTTCTCAGCATTCTTGCTATTTCTACAACTGAGTATGTTTTATTCAACAATTGTGTAACTGAGACAAAGAAGTACCTTTTCGGGAGAAAGATTTTATGTTGCTTCCCCCAGATTCAACATCTCTATGTCGTCTCAAGAGACTTGCAACATCCAAAGTTGCTTCTTGTTTGGCATTCCTCTTCCATATTAATGGACTAATTGTTGGTAATTTTTTGTTGAGACTCGAGTTTTCTTCAGGATAGCTCTCATTTGCTAAAGTCTTGGCAGAAACTACAGAGGTGCTATTGTTATTTGTTTGGTCAGCTGGGCCTCTAGACAACTCATTGCTCACTACACCATCTTGTGGAAACCTAGAAGAACTCATGCTGTGTTCTTTTGTGGATTGGTAATAAGAGTTGGATGCCCTTCCTTCATTCTCCTGGTTCTGAGGAGGAATGGCAGTACCAAGGGTAGTCATATCCAGACCAGGACCTTCTGAAGACGTAACCATGCTCAGATCTTCAAAGTATATGAGAGAATCAAATGTACAAGTGTATTTCAACACACACCCAACTAAACAACTGGAACAGTAATACTATGTTATTGTTAATTGTATAGGTATATTTTGTGAACACTGATATTCTAAATTGGGAACATGAAAACTTTGGATTGAAGTATTGGAAACAAAACAATGTAAATTTTATTATTTTACAATTTTTCCTTTCTTCCCAATTTAAATACACTATTCCTATTGTCCAAATGTATGTGATGTAAAAACACAAATACTCTTTTCTATAATACTATTTTTTGGTATATTTCCAAATATGGTGATCAAAACATTTTTATTAATTTTTGTATATAATTATTTAGATTTTTGACAAATAAGTTATTGCATCAAGGAAGAAACTGTACTAACAGACTTTTCATCTTTTAGGTTACAAGTCTCACAATTCTTAGAACATAATACTATAAATAGCCATTTTTTCTGTACTTACTCATAGATCGAGCTTCACCATTTCGGCTGTGACTTTTGGTACGGTTGAAACCTTTGTCTCTATTTCTTATTCTCAGGAAATTCTCTTCTGGTTCAGACCCAGAAACACAACAAAACATTGGACAGGGAATATCTGAAGCATTAAGCTTTGAGCATTCAAGTGGTACCCCAATAGGCTCATGGCTGGTATGCTGAGAAGCTGTAGGTGAGGAATTTTTATTCAGAAATTTTTCAAGCTTTAGCTGTGATAATTTCAGAAGAAACATTATTTAAATACCATAATATAAAAAACGATTTTAGAGAAGTTGTTTCACAAAGTTAAGTTTGAGCTGTGTGTTTACTAGATTAGAAATTTTATTAGTAAATATGTTTATGGCATTTACACTTTTTGTTTCATGGTAGCTATTACAAAATCACCTGAACATTAAAATAAAAATTGTTCTCATAAAAAAAGTTATTACTTACTGTACACTTTAGTATGCATTCAGCTTAATTAACTAAATTTTTGGCTGTCCAATGATAAATTACTTTACAATTAAAAGGACAACGATACTTAAGATGAACAATATTGTTTATTTACAACAGAAGGGGACACAGATAAACATTTTGGAATTCTACAGATTCCATCTTCAGTATCTAAAGCAAAACAAAAGAATTTCATCATTCCTAAGTAAATAACTAAAATACATTGCTTCAAGAATGATACTTTAATCAAACTAAAACACACAGAAAGCAAAGGAATAACAAACAAAAATACTACACATATTACAAAATGTGCAATTTAAAAGAAGACTGATGTTATTCAGTGTTGATGAAAGTTGTTTGATGTGGAGAGTTTCTTTAATCAGTAATTCCGGATCAGTGTTGGCCTCGCAAAAGATGTTAAAATTTGATAAGTTAGGTTAGTATCTTGCTTCTTCACTACATTGGCATATGGAGGAAGCACAGGGGTTAACTCAAATTGTTTTGTGTTTGATCCAACAATTTCTTTTGACAAGTCCTGTAAGCTGAAGAATTTTGTAGGTTTTGATTGGATAATTTAAAATGGAGGAACTTAGGAATGCCATGTCAGAGAATGCATTCAGTAAGGAAGCAAAAATTGTTGTGTTTTCTTGCTATAGTTTGTCCTCATGATTACTGTTATGTGCTTTATTTGTTTAATTATCGTTATATTTAGCAATTGTACTTTAGCAATGTCCAAAGATGTATGTAAATTCCTTTTATATTGATTTAGATACTGAAGATGGAATCTGATAGAATTCCGACACGTTTATCCATGTCCCCTTTTTGTCAATAAACAATGTTGTATATCATAAGTGTCATAATCTTGTTTATTATCAAACTTTGTTTTCCTTCGAACACATTGATTGCTAGTGTCCTGATTCGATGATATGGAAATGATATTCTGCGTGTATACCGTGCCTGTGAAAAATGAGACTTTAAAATTAAGAATGTTTATCTTGATATTTGTTTTGTGTTTTCATGGAAATTGCCATATGTTCATTGGCTCTAACTAGTAGATGGCTTTTAGTTTTGCCAATATAGGAGGCCTTACAGTCTCCACACAGATAAAGATATCCAGGCCATGAACAAAGATAAATTGGGTGAAGGTCTTTAGTATGCAAAAAATCCTTTATGAGTGATGTGAGTTTAAAAACTAATCTGAAATTAACTTGGGAGTAGTAATGATGAATTACACATATAATTACTTCCCAAATGTGTAAATAAACAATTTTGTTCATCTTAAATATCGGTATCCTTTTTATTGTAAAACTTTGTTTTCCTCCAAACACATCGATCACTAAATTAACTTAATTTTTCATCATATTTAGGTCATTACATTTGGTTTATGCATATAACATACCAGTTATAAAAACAAAATTTAACAAACAATGGTGACTTTACTTATCCTTCAACTTTAGTAATATAGAATTACACTGTGAGTGGAACAAACATAAGGTGTAATATTTCATGTTTTAAATGGCACAGCTGTTCTTCCTCGGGGATATAAAATGAGTATGATTTTAAATCTTAGGTCTTTTAGTTTTATTTACATGTTTTTATTTTAATCATGAATTAGAATTGTGTGAAAAATTATACATGGTGTATAGCTTTAGTAGTTTTGTTTGTATGTGGCAAATAAAACAATTTAATACTCACCTAGAAATGAAGTACTTTTCCTCTGGGGTTCTTGAGATATAGGTGTTTTTTCTGAAGTTGGTTCAATACTGCTAGTATAAGGCATTTTGGAAAATAAGCTCTGTTTTTTTAACAGAGTACCATGTGTATAGCTAAAACAAGAAACAAATTTAGTTTCTTTATATCCCAAAAATCTTAACAGAGTCAGAGTTTGGGATACCACTCTAAATACTGTATGTAAAGTAATACAAAATTGTGGAAATATAGCAAAGTGAAAGACAACAATTTAGGTTACTGCTCTGAATGCTTACATAATCATAATGAAGGTATGTACAGATTAAAAGATAATACTTAACTAATTAGAAACAGATTATATCATCTAGCAACTTCTTTACAAATATTAAGATTTTACTAATGAGGTATCACAAGACACTTGATGTTCTACAGCAATATATTACTGAGATTTTACTAATGAGGTATCAAAATATATTTGATGCTATATAGCAATATATTACTGAGTCTTTAGTAATGAGGTATAACATGACACTTGATGTTCTGCAGCAATATATTATGGAGATGTTACTAATGAGGTATCACAAGACATTTGATATTCTACAGCAACATATTACTGAGGCTTTAGTAATGAAGTATCACAAGACACTTGATGCTCTACAGCAATATATTACTGAGGCTTTAGTAATGATGTATCACAAGACACTTGATGCTCTACAGCAATATATTACTAATACTTTAGTAATGAAGTATCACAAGACACTTGATATTCTACAGCAACATATTACTGAGGCTTTAGTAATGAAGTATCACAAGACACTTGATGCTCTACAGCAATATATTACTGAGGCTTTAGTAATGAGGTATCACAAGACACTTGATGCTCTACAGCAATATATTACTGAGGTTTTAGTAATGAGGTATCACAAGACACTTGATGCTCTACAGCAATATATTACTGAGGTTTTAGTAATGAGGTATCACAAGACACTTGATGCTCTGCAGCAATATATTACTGATACTTTAGTAATGAAGGTATCACAAGACACTTGATGCTCTTCAGCAATATATTACTGAGAATTTAGTAATTAGGTATCACAAGACACTTGATGTTAGTTAGTAATATATTTGAGCATGGTGCTCAGTAATAAACAATTGATGTTCCAATTGATGTGTGCTTTATACTCATTGTTAAAGCTCCTTAAGACTGATTAGGATATGATAGTTGACAATAACCAACCTCCTCCAAGTTATTGCTTTATTAATTTAAGTGGATGAAGTCAATATACTTTGCCATATTAATGTATTCTAGTTTAGTGGTTTCCAACCACTAGTCCATGAACCAGTGCTGATAAAAAAAAACATTCAGTGACAAAAATAAAAAGCTTGTTTTTGATTTCAAAGATTCTTGAAGAAGCTAAGTTAGAAAACAACATTATAGGCTAATAATTTAAATGTCAAAAGTTGGCAAAATATTGTAAAACCAGTAGACTTAAAAACTGTTACAAAAACAAATTAATTTGAGATGGTTTTTTCTACATTCCTCTAAATTTGTCCATTGTGTACTATTTTATTACACCTCTCATTTTGAGATGCAATAGGAAAATTAAAAGGAATGTGGGGAAAACACACACCTGCAGTTAACTTGTTTCATAACAACATTATTGGGATATTTATTCCTAACAGTTCTAAAGATTTTTATGAAGATTTTGCTGGACTATGAATTAATAAAATATTGGGACTCACTGTTCTACTTCTTAATTTAGTGTTAAACTTACGCTGATATTTCCACTTCTGTTTCGGAAGATGTGTATTTCTTATGCCAGTCAAGGATATACAGGGTTCCCATGGCAACAAGACTGTGAATATGTTAACATTTAATATTTTGTCAAATCAAAAAATTTCTAAAAGGTATCAGCACTAAATAAATTTTAAAATGTAGCTTTAGCACAAAGAAAACCTTTGCAATTATCAAACATAATTCCATCATGATCAACAGAAGTCAATTCCAAATTTAACTTCTTAAACAGAATAAAATATGACTGAAGAAGATATCAATTCTTAATAATTATACTGATTTATATAAAAAAATTAAACAAAACATTACAAAGATATATATATATTAAGCTTTACTTGATGTATATAATAAAATGTTGACTCACCAGAAGGCCATGATCAGCACTAAAGTGATAACAGTGCCTTGGACAAACTGGCTGGTACACACTCCTTTCTCCTTCTCTTTGTGTCTATGGCATCGAGGTCTAATAGATTTTCTTGAATTCCTTATGCTGCTGCATCGACTGGTTAAGAAAATATGAAGTTACTAGCTGGTAGTTAAATCTATTAAGATCTTCATTTTAAATTACTTAATGATAATTTGTATTATCTTTGTAATATTTCAAATCTGTAAATTGTTGAGCTAAAATTAAAGAATAAGACAGTGTATTTTTGTTTGCACTACACAAACAAAATGTTCAATAGCTTTATGCAGTTTTTTGCATTAAAATTATTAATGTACAACCCTCAAACATTATTACCAGTATATCACAAGAAAGCCCATAATTTATTTGTATCAAATAAGCCACAGTTTTTATAAGCTTGTTCTACCCAAATAGATTAATTAACAAGTAAAAGTAAACACTGCAGTAATCTGGTGGAGATTTATGAATTTTACAATATCAATATAAACTATACAGTAGAAGTATCATTATGTGAATCAGTGGTTTCTAAACTGTGTGTTAAGGCAAACTGCTTGGGGTTTCACGAGAACTTCACCAAATGAAGAATAATTAAGAACATAAGAAAAAAACACTGTACATAAAGTACTGCATTGGCAGCGGGGGTGTAATCCAAATAAAGGTAAGTGGGTTAGGGTGTCATCAGTGAAAAAAGTTTGGGAACTATTAATGTAAAGTTTTAGTTCAAGTTACCTACCTGGTAATGGTACTTCCACTTGAGGAAGACTTCAGACTGTCCAGTCGTTTCAGTTTGCTTAACTTATGGTTTATACGTTCTAACTCATCTATCCGAGTTTCTAAGTTGTCTGTAACCTTACACAACTCCTTGACAGCTCCAACGTTTTCCATGAAGATACGTTCCTATACAAAGAGATGAAATATAAAATAATCATTTAAGTGATATTTCTATAGTTGTGTAGGTTTATTACTTTACTGGGTTACCTTTAGAAACCGTATATGAAAGAATAAAATGAAATAATTATCAGCAATAACATCCAAAATATCATCCCTACACACCTGTAAGTTTAGTGAGTGATTTTTGCTGAGAATAAAGAATACATATTTTCTGTCAATTGTTTGCATTAAATTTCTGGTTAGTCAAAATAAAACACCATCTCCAAAAAATTAACTTCTACAAAATTTATTAACACAATATATATAACTTACTTTACATCTAAATCATGTGTACAGACCTTATTAACAACCAAGAAGTTCTCAATCCTTTGACCGCTAGGAAGTACAATATCCCCTGCTTCCCTTACAGCATCAGGAAGGATGGTCCGTACCTCCTGGGCTACAACACCCATGTCTGACAGTTGATCTTCTGACATTCCAACTTGTTGAGCAAACTCAGGAAGGTATTGATACTTCACAATCCTCATGTTAGCTACATTCTTCAGCTGTTCCCTGGTGTCAACCTATTAAATAAACAAATCCAAGTAACCATAAACCTAATGATCTCTTAACACAATGAAATGTTTTACAAAATTTTTTTAATCTTATTAACTGTCTGCACATATTATAAAGATACGTTTTCAACAAATGTTATTTTTATATATCCATTTATTTTGCATGTAAATAAACGGCTTAGTTAGATTACATTTCTTGAAAAACATAAGAGGAAAACATGTTTGTAATTATTAGTATGTGTGAATCAGGTTATTTAGAAACAGTAGGTTTCAATCTTTACCTCTATGGTTTCACTTTTTACCCTAGCATCAGAGGGTTGTACAATGTGACCAGTAATCTTGACATTACCATGAACAACCAGAGATTCATCAGGTCTATCTGTATTGATTCCTACTCGTCCCTATAAAAATAAAAATCAGATTCTTGTATTTAGTATTGAAAACATTAACAAACCTAAACAATAAACTTAGGCCCAAAATCAAATAACTGTTCATAAATAATATCAAAACAAAAAGATTAGATACACATATATATATATATTAAAGCTAACTTTTCAGAGTATGCATCTTATTTAAGACTGTTATATTCTAAAAACAATAATAACAGAATGACAAAATTAATTAACAGAAATACTCTTTACCATCACTAAAATCAGAAGCACAGAATATACTTACAACATGATACACTGTATCAGGGTTGTGCCCTTTCTGCCATGACAATTCCATATCATTCTCAAACTGACCAGGATTGGACGCCTGGAAAGATATTAGTCTCTGTGAAATCAAAGATGTAATTTATGTTTATTTTAATTCACTGAAATTCCTAACTTATTAAACTGTACTATAGTCTTTCCCGTTCTAAACCCATTTGTCAACTTATTATTGATTTGAATGTGTAATAATAATCTCTATTAGAATTCGTGCATTAAAAATGCTAAATATAATTGTTCACTTATCCTTTTTTTGCACACAGCCTAAACTATCAAATATTTCTGAATCAATAAGTGCTTGGACACATAAAAGCAAATAGCTTAAACAAATTTTAAAACCTTAATATAGTCAGTTCACCTGCCGAAAATTGTATGATTTGTTTGTTTTAGAGCAAAGCCACATTGGACTATCTGCTACGTCCAGTCCACCACATGGAATCAAACTGTGAATCTTAATGGTGTTGTACGTCTGTAGACTTACTGCTGTCCCATCAGGGGACAAAAAAATTGTATGATAATGAAAATTATCATTTAAAGCAAGAAATCTGCTTGCACTCTACTTATCTGATAATTACTTGAAAGCTGAGAGAAAGTTATCTGAACTCACTCGCACAATGATTCTTTCAGAAGCATGGGCTACTACAGGGTAAGCTTGTTCTCCACTGTGAGCACAGAGACTGACGACCAAGTAAAAATATCGTTGGTCAGGATTTGGCTTTCCCTTTTTCCTCATGTTATTGGTTGTAGTTTCACTGAAGTGGAGTCTTCCAATGGTGGTCTTAGTGACTTGCTCAGGAGAAATGTCAATACTGTAAAATCGGCAAGTCATTTAATAATTTTATAGTTAACTATAAATCAAAAGATAACCTTTTATTTTCTGCAAATTTTGTTTATCATTTTAATTAACTTCAAAGGGGTTATCAAATACTGCCAATGAAGTTTGAATTGAATCTGAATGACTTTCAAAATTTGAATCAATCATTTTACACATATGAGTATTACTGTTTTACTTTTATATGAAGTTTCTGCAAACTCTGTAACAAAAAATGTATGATTATGCTGCTTTTTCTTTGAAATATTTTTTGTTTAAAAATCTGTATGTGTATTTATCTACAGAGAGAGAGAGATGTATGCCTAAAGTTATTGGTGACCATTTCATGCATGAATTACATTATGTACCTTTTAATAACAGCATCTTATCTTAAATGTACAAATACATGAAAAAAAAAAACACAGGCTTACAGGACAGGATGAAATGGGTTTTATACAGGAAAAACATAGAGAGGATAAGATGGAATGGTCTTATACAGGAAAATAATCATAGACTTACAGGACAGGATGGAATGGTCTTTTGCTACGGTCTGACTGGGACTGTTCAATTTTGATTATCTGAGTTGGAGACTCGACCTGCAAGACACCAATTTATATATGTACATTAAAACATGCTGACAAAATTGTGGATATCTGAAACTGTTAAGGCTAATAATACAATGATTTGTATTAATGTTGTATTTGTTAGTTATCTAAGCATGTTTTACACTGAACCACACTGCTTGAACTTTAAAAGTATCTAATGAGAGTCAAACTAAATCTACTAAAATGTTGCCAAGATTTTTTTACTCAACTTTTAGAGTAGAAAATGTACTTGCAACAGGTCTCATAATCAAAACTTAGTTCCTTTTTGGTCTAAGTTATAACTAATATAATACTAGAAATAAATAGATATTTTTTATTGTTGAACAATTACTTATCAAGATACATGTAAGTTACACAGAAAGTTGGCATATAATCGACTTCTTTCTCTCATATCTAATTTCTTCATGATAAAGCTATTTTACACATGAAACTTTTCAACATTTTTTTGCACGAAATAACTGAGCAAAAACATTACCACTTTTATCTTAACCCTAGTGACCTGAATTTGAAGATAGAAAATTTGTTTCTAACAGTATTTTGTGTAAATATATGACTTTTTAACATACATACATCACTGTAATATTACTTAAGGTATTCTTTTAAACTTATACTGTAGGTTGAAAACATAAAATTATATAAAGCTTAGAGAAATCTCCACCTAAAGGACCAAACTAAGCTTGTTGTTAAATATATAAAACCTGTGATGTAAATTGAATTTATAAATACTGGTTTACCTTATAAAGTGTGACATCTTTAGGTGTTGAAAATAACTTATTCATTATTAAAACATAAAAAAAAAAGTTTTAATGACATGAAAAATAAAATTTTATTTGAATATGAACTCACCTTTACTCCCTGAAAGTGAAGAAAGAAGTTTTCAATCTTCTTCAAGCCTTCTGCAGTCTTCACAAACTGTGGATTTCCAACTGATTGTACATGTACTGTGACCTGGAAATGGTTTTTCTTCTGACACACAAAGGCATCATCAGCATTACTAAAATTAAACCCTTTGTCGGCATCCACCCTATAGTTTGGAGGAGGCCTGGAAGTAAAGAAATAAGTATTTTGAATAAAGTTTAAGTTTCTACTTCAGGAAGTTTATGGCCGTGAATGTCAGAAAACAACTTTAATCCTATGTGCATAGGTGGGGGTTAAAGTGTGCAACCCAGCCATGACCTTTACAGAGTGCCATTCAACAAACTATTTGATGTCAGAGTTATCAACTATTCATTTTACCCTACATTGCTGATTTAGCAAAATTTCATGGTAAAGGAAAGAAAATACCAGATACAATATACTGGGATACTTAAAAAACTGTAGATATGGATTTTGGATATTCTAGAGGTTATGCAAATGCAATATGCAAACTGTATAATGGACAAAGGTATTTTTATTCTTCACATGAACATCAACTTGTCAGAGTCAGACTGATGTCATCAATTCACAGACATGTCCTGTGTACAAATACCCTTGTAGCTCATCTGATGTTTTTTGTACAACAGACTTGTAAATTTCTCTTAAAGCTTGCGACAACTGATGTAGATACACATAGTAAGTTCAGAATTATAGTCAGTATTCCTTCTACAGTACAGGGTCGGTCCAATGGACCTAGCCATGCACATTTGATTAGACCTATGGCAATAGTATTAGAGGAAATATGACTTAAATTTGGAAACACCTTTTTTTTTTAAAAAAAATGCACCTATTTTTAAGATTCTCACTGCAGACAGTATGATGTAAGTTTGTAGACAATACAATTTAATTTAACAGATAAACAAGTTAGTGTTTGGTTGTAAATTCTAATTAAAAACAAAGAGGAATGAAACTTGGGATAAAAATTAACCATAATCTTATTTAGAGAAAAAATTCGTCCTCACATTAAAACCAAATATCTGATGATTATTCTTGTATGTGTTGACAAGAAAACAGGGCTTAGTCTTTTTTTTCATGCACAACAACAGACTAAATGAGGGAGAACTGGAGAGACAAGAAAGTTCTTTATTAAAGTCTATAGTATAGAAGCTTCACTTACAGTTCTTTAAGGGTAGCATCACAAAGAATGTGCCATGTGGTCTGTTGAAACGGCTGGAAACGAATACACTGATATACAGCATCTAGAAATACTGCACTGTTGTCTGGACTGCTGAAGTCAAAACTATACTCATCATCAGTGCCTGGTAGAGGAGTTTCACCCTGACGATCTGGTGACAATCCACCTGGAAATTTGGTAGTGTTTATTCTAGATACAATGTGCAAAAATTGAGATAACAGGAACAAAAATGCTTATCACCTTTGGCATTTGTCTCTTTTATAAAAGGAAAACCCTTATTATTTAGTGCCATACACACTATAAGTTTTCTTTAACGTTATATTTGCATACTCAACAGAATTTTTTAGTATATTTTAGTTTAGTATAAATATTTGGTACACTCCAATTACTGTTAAGTTTGGTAATGTAAAACTAATACAACTAAACTTCTGGAACCAAACTTTTGCTTAAGGGCAATTGCAATCGTAATTAAAACATACTCTACTAATCCTGTAAGTTAGATTATTATTACAGATCAACTTGTATCCATAGGTCACAAAACACATAGTCAAAGTAATCATGTTTGGTTATCCAGTAAAGGTCTTACTTGGTTCCTGTTTGATGCTGACTAGTCCATTAAGTAGGCTGCCAGTGATGGAATGCTTTGAAGAGTCTGACAATTTTCGCTTTCGAGACAAGTTGGGGCTGGGACTACCAAGGTTTTCAGGCAGAAAGTCTTCACTGATGAAGCATGGGTGCAAAATGAAAACTGTATTAGATACCAAACACAAGGAATACTAAGTTATCTATGTGTTTGTAAAAATTCAAGTTCCTTTCTCTTAAAAACAACAATATCAATTGGAGTATCTACTTGAAAAAGCTGAAATTGAAATCACAGAAAAGACCTTATGTTAAACTATTTATGTAGTTTAAGTTTCTCAAATCCCAGAGTTAGCTACAGTTCCATCTACTTGTTTTCTACACAGAGCAACTTCAAGAATTGTGTCCATTGTTGATCAAATTCAGCCAAGTTTAAATTATCAAACCAGCTTAAACTTCTAACTTAAAATTAAGGTAAACTATAGGTGGTGGAACATATCTGAATTACTATATTAACCATGACTATTGAAGTAGAAACTGAAACAGACATTTTTTCCCATGATAATTATACACAAGTCTCTATTCCATATTCATTTAGTAAGTGCATGGATATCTGGGCTGATGCTGGAACAAGAAGGCTAATAAGTAATTCACTAAATCCTACAAAGGTTTTAACAGAATGTCAAAAAAAAGACAAACAGTTGAAGAAGAAGGTCACCAATAACATACCTATTGTACAAAGTTGCTAAGTGGTTAACAGAGGGGATAAGGGAACAAGGGGGTTGCTGTTGCTGCAGTCCTGCTGTAATAGGGTTTGTTATGGGCTGTGGCAGTTGGCTGAGCAGTGACTGAGTACTGGTGTGAACAGGAAGATGACCTAAGTGGTTTCCTGTGTGTGCTGGTAGTGGTGCATGGTTGACCTGCTGTGGCTGGAAGAAATAACAGAGCTCAAAACTAGTTTTTTTTTTTTCTAAATAAATAAATAGAAAAAAATAGAAACAATTTCCCTCTCATGAAAAAAAATATTGTTATTTTTAGAATTTTCATGGACAACTATTAGAAAGATTCCCAATATTATTAATATTATCTAAATTTCAATATATTTATAACAAATTAAAGTCACAATACTAATGGCTATTTCTTAACATAACATGGTTTTGGGTTAACATGGGACATATTGGTCCATCTTGGCTGTTCCATCCTCTAAACTAAATTAAAATAATAATAAAAAAATCTTAAAGCTAGCCCTTATCATTCATATGCTTATCAAGCTTTTTCTTAATCTCACTTAAGTTTACTGCCTCTACAACACCTGAAGACAACCCATTCCAAAACCAACTACCCTGTTAGAAAAATGAAACTATCTTAGCTGAAGATGACTCCTACCTTGCCTAAATTTATATTTGTATCCCTAGACCTACTATTCTCACTGTTAAGTATGGAAAAAGATGATGCATCAACACTATCAGTTCTCTTTACAATCTTAAACACCTCAATCAGATCCCCCCTAACTCTTCATTTTTCTTGTGCTTACAGATAGTATAATAAAGTTAAAAACCTTCTAAACCTCAATAATCTAGGCTTAAAATACATTCAACAAAAAATAAACTATAAGTTAGAAAAATGTATCTTAACTTCTGAAAATCAAGTTTTTCTAATGAAGAGAAATTGTATGATTCTAACTTGTTTTGTTTTCTGAAATATTGGATTATTATTGTTGTTACTTTCACCTTAAATCTACATAAATCAAAACAAAACAAAGTCTGGTACATCTACAGAAATCCCACTAAGTGGGTTTAAATTTGTTTTCAAAAAATAGCTGCCACTAGTACACTGGGAATACTGTGTTGTACTTCTTTTTAGTGAGAGTATCAGGTAAGTTGGAATAAGCCAGCTATATGAAGATATATGGAAATGTAAATATATTCAAGAACTGGTATGCTGAAAAACATGAATATATATATGTTAGTTACTAGATATTTACTAGCTTGGGTATATTATGCACTCACAATTAATGACATAAGAGTACTATTTAATTAGTAATGACACATTACAATATATTATATGAATTATAAGTCACTTATCTTTAGTAAATGTTTGAAGAATAATAAAACTAAAAAGCTGGGTACTAGATGTGAACATGTTGGCCATATATGTCTATTTCATATCTTAATTGGTAAGGATGTGGTTAAAAACATACACCACAGACTATATATTTCCCCTTTCCTTTTACTCATTGTGCTCAGGAAGCAAAATGTACTTTCTCCACACTTCTATTTAAAGTTAAGGACCTCTACATACATGTACCTATATATGTAATGATGCCATAACTTCTGTAGCTAAATGGCTTGCTTGTAACTGCTATAAAACTTCCACATCCCTTACATAGCCTGTTAAGGTTGACTGTTTTAAAAATTAATATCATAAAGGAACAATGGCAAAGTAAACACTGAACTTTATGATGTGAGAAAAACGATGCAAATTTTTCAATCAGAAAGTCAATTATGGGATACAGTAACTCAAAGTATTTTTTGAAAATATACATTACCTACTGAAACTCCTTAATCACCAATACTTAAACAAAAAATAATAATTTTTTCAGTATATCTTTTATGGAACTTAACTATCCACAGTCTTTTTTAATCATTTACAGCTTCTTTATACTCCTCAAAGAACGATCTTAATTTTTCGTGATGAACACTAACTTCTATGCCATTAATTCTATATTTTCTGATTTTGTTTGTTTTATGAAAAATAATGTTTATTTATTTGTTAGTTTCTTTTCTTCACCACAAAGTGAATTTCAGTGAGGATTATGTAGAGGCCTAATCTATTCTTTGATTAACTACTCCCACTGCAGCAGACTAGTTTTGCTAAATTCACAGCTAATAAGTGCTGTTTGGAAGAGTGAAGCAAGTAAGCAAAGTAGGCCTTATATAGTGGTGGAATGTAAGCAAAGATACTTCAAAAGCTATATTAGTTTGTCAACTAAGTGCTTTTAACTAGCAGTTTTAAGACATACCTTACAGTTAGCTTGAACATATGTTGGGCTCACTGAATGTTGGTGAGGAGGGGTTATGGTTAGGCTATTTTCTGGAGGCAGGTGTTTGAGGGGCTGAGTATTACTGTAGTTTATGAAATGTTTTAAACTCTCTTGCTGTGATTGCATCATCTCGTTCTGTACAGTTCTTCTGCTGCTTACACTAAGCTTTGGGTCTGGAAAGAAACAAAACAAATAAAAAAAATAAACAACCATTTTCATGTGGAACCTTAATATTCAAAACGTTTGAACAAGCTACATTCACATAAATGTACAAGTTATTAATTTTTAGTAAACTGTTAAAAACGTTTAAAACATAAAGCATGGTTAAAATATACTGCACACTTTAAGTGTAGTTAGAAAATTTGTTATACAAAATATCATACAATTGTAATTCAACAAGGAATTCTGGCAAAGGTTAAGAAATTTGATTCATTATTTTTTAAAGACACTAAAAACATAAGAAAACCTAACTCTACTTAGTTCTGGGAATATTATCAATCCTTGCTTATTCCAATAAAAAACATTAAAATAAATTCTTACCTCAGTGAACATAATGTGTTACATATCATTCTCGATCCAAAAATTTCTAAAATTGCATAAATGTCTCTTATGAAATGCTCTAACTATATTTCTAGTGAAAAGTCCAGGAGAATGTCTTGTAAAGTATTCCATTAATATGTATATTTTTGCAGAATCTATTAATGTTTTATGTAAGGTCTTATGTAGAATGCCCTATTACATTAAAAGTTTTAGATTTGCTTCTATTCAGGCCTGCTGACAGGAGGAGGGGCAACTGCCTATGAGCCTGGGCAAGTGAAACCTGGTTATGTTGTAAAGCCCACAAAGCACCTTTAGGCTATATCTTCAGTTAATCATAAAAAAGCATAGTTTTGGCTTTTCTTTGCATGATGCATTAAGAATGACTGAAATAATAAATAATTTGAGTAATAATTAATGTGTATTTGTTACTTTATAGATTTAATAGTATATTTGTTGTTATTTTATTAATGGCTGCTGCTATGATTCTGCCTTGTTTATGAGCTTGTTGCTGTCCTAATTTAGAATCTTCTTTTTGATAAGTTCTTAAAAATGTTAAAAAAGAGAGAGAAATGAGGCCTAGCGAGGATGTTAGCCCTGAGGCCCGTGCTGGCTCTTGATGCTCCTGTCTCTATAGAAATGTTCTAGATAATATCTTTTGGAATTTTCCAGCTAAATCTATTTGTAATAACTAGTTCTATAATAACTAGCTGAACTTCATTTTTGTTTAGCTTTTCTTTTCGTAGTAGTCAATTGAAATTTCTGAGTCATGTGAAATAATTAGTTCTGATCCTGGATCTGAAGAAATGTCTAGAGAGATAATCATATATGTAAAAAAACAAAAGTTAGGCCTCATTTAGTATAATAAAAGGCAGTCCTGGTCCTGGATGGAAAATAAATTAATAAATAACTTAATCCCCATTTGTTGGGGAAAATGGTGGTTCTGATTCTTAATCTGGTGAACTCTTATGATTGAAAATCATGTTTGTAAAAAATTACTTACCCTCATTTGGTGGAGAAAAAGGTGGTTCTGATCCAGAATCTGGTGGACTATCTGGAAGCTGATGACTACAATGTAAATAACTTAAGTTAGATTGTAATATATTTCCAAATTCAATCCACTTTTATAATTTACACATGCCAATTCAAACTAAAACAGAATAAGTTTTTAACAAATGTTACAAAAGTGACTGTTAATTTGTAAAGAAAATGCTAGATATCTATACTGAATATGACATATCATAAACAGCTTAACTCACATTGTATCAGAAGAAACCACATACAATTAAATGAAAATTACATGGCTATTTTCATTCTCAATTAATAAATACTACATAAACTTGGTTTGCCAATGATATGCTTTCTGAAATATGCCTAATTATAAATAATTTATTATTTTTACCAATTAACAAGATAAAGCATTGAAAATTATATGACCAACCTTTGAGAAAAAGCTGTGATGTTGTTTATGGTTTTTTGTCTCTTGATGCTACTGTCAACTTCCACTGGATGATCGCTAGATGGCACAAGTGTCCCAGTCACATACAAGTCTGAAGTTGAAGCTGGACTTTCACATGTAGTGTCTGCAACTTGCTGAGTGACTGGAAAGCTGTTGCAAGCACTTGTAGTGACCCCTGAATAAACTGATGCAGTATGGAAAGTCGGTTGGCTGGACGTTGAGGACTTAACCACAGGAGTTTCTGATAATTTTAGATCACTTTTCACCAGGGCATCGGGAAAGTCACTGAAAATCAAACACTGGCTCTTTCACTTGCATTTACAATTAGCCACAGTTCAGCATGTACAATAAAAAATGAATAGGCTTACAAGAAATGCAATTAAACACACATACGTAGAAATATATCACAACATTCACAGGCTAACCTATTTATACTTATAATCTCATGACCCTGCTATTATCAAGGCATCAAACAAATATGCATGACATGTAGATGTCTTGTATTGAAGTGAAAACAATAGAACCCTTCCATGACAAAGACATACATCATGTGAATTTCTAACTAAGCTATACGTATAATAAGTTTTTACAAAATTGATTGTATTAACTCATAATAAAACATAGTTGCATACCAATTTCAATTAACATCTTTCCCAAGAAGGAAATTTCACAGTGTTTATTAATAATAAAACATGTACCCACCCATATAAACTAGAGCTAACATTCTTCCAAAATGACAAACCTGGCTGTCGTTACTCATAAAGAAACACACTCCTTTACAAACTAGAGCCAACATTTCCAAGAAATACAAACCTGGCTACGTTTACTCATAATAGAACACACTCCCTTACAAATTACAGCTGACATTCCCAAGAAATACAAACCTGGCTGTGTTTACTTATAGTAAAACACACTCCCTTACAAATTACAGCTGACATTCCCAAGAAATACAAACCTGGCTGTGTTTACTGATGATGAAGCTTCTTTACTAAATACAGCTAACATCCTTCCCAAGAAAGACAATGCTGACTATATTTACTCATAATAAAACTCCTTTACTAAATACATGTGATATCCATCTCAAGAAAGATAAACCTGACTATTTTTATTCATAATAAAACTCCTTTACTAAATACAGGTGATATCCTTCTCAAGAAAGACAAACCTGACTGTGTTTTCTCATGATAAATTACACTCCCTTACTAACTTCAACTAAAATCTTTGGAGAAAGACTAACTTAATTTACAATATTTACTAATTATGGAACACACACTTTCACTTGAATTTCATAAATCTCAGAATTTGAACTGTGCAACAAAATTTATTCAATTGTATATAATACAATCTACAATTACTATGGCAAACCAATGGGAAATGGATTAGAATATACTTATATTCTTCAAATATTATTTCAAGGAAGCAAGTCACACAATAAATTTGTGCAAGTTCAGAAAGTTATTCAGGGGTTTATATAAACTGCATCTCAAGTGCTATACTCCCCTTTATTTTGAACCCTTCGAATTGGTAACTTAATTTAAACTGCTGTAAAGAGTAGCTCCCAAGATTGACCTTGAAATGTCCATTACACTCTAATAGTTGTCATGCTTTCACATGCCTAAATTATAAATATTCACGGGATATCAGAAAAAGTTCTTTCGCCAGCTCTAATGTTATCAAGAAACGTGCTTTTACATACCCCTATATGAATAAGGTTTCGATAGGTGGGCTTCCACACGACAAGATATGACCTGAATTTAGCCTGAGAGTATGATGCGAAATTCAATCAAGGCATCTGATAAATGTATGTTGAAACAGTTGTCTTTCAACTTGACCTGGCTAGATTTTACATACATCCGCAAACTGAACTTAATAAAATTACATAAAACAATTACATGCGAACAATGAGAGTAAGTTCAAAACAACTGTAAGATTCAATATGCGGAATTATATGTTAAGGCAGACGTTTCAAAAACTCATGTCTGACCGAAGAGCATAATTTGATTATCACCCGAATAACGCACTTTCGGCCCCAAAATGTGTAGCTTGTTTTTATGCGGTAAAGAGACACAAACATTGGATTTTTGGACCCCCAAGCCGGCATACTAACTTTCTGGCCACATCCGGCCCATTTGTTCTAGTTCTAACTTCTTACCTTAAGAACAAGTTATGTTCATAACGCAGCAACAAATACGTCAAAATAAGTACAAGAAAGAAAAAAAAAAACGACACAGTATTAATTTTTGTTGTGTTAAGTAACATTTTTGTAACACTTATGTGTTTAAAAATAATTATTCTGAGCACCAAAAGATAAGATTTCTCGAAAAACACATCTAAAGATTTAAATTTCATAATCAAGCTACAATTT